CCTTGCGCACGTGCATGTCAGCGGGGCGCACACATGTCCATGCCCGTGGAGTGCCACAAGCTCTTGTTACATGGTGACCGTCAGTGTCAATCAGCCCACCAGCATATCAGCCCAGCATATCAGCCCATCAGCATATCAGCCCACCAGCATATCAGCCCATCAGCATATCAGCCCATCAGCATATCAGCCCATCAGCATATCAGCCCACCAGCATATCAGCCCATCAGCATATCAGCCCATCAGCATATCAGCCCATCAGCATATCAGCCCATCAGGCTACCGAGCGGCCCAGCAGCCTGTCACCGCTCACCGCCTTGTGCACGTACATGTTGGCCGGGCGCACGTCCATGCCCGTGGAGTACCATCTTCTCTTGTTACCCCTCTGACTATCAGTCTCAATCAGCCCATCAGCCTATCAGCCCATGAGCCTATCAGCCTATCAGCCTATCAGCCCATGAGCCTATCAGCCTATCAGCCCATGAGTTTATCAGCCTATCAGCCTATCAGCCCATGAGCCTATCAGCCTATCAGCCCATGAGCCTATCAGCCTATCAGCCTATCAGCCTATGAGCCTATCAGCCTGTCTACGAGCCTACCAGCCTACCAGCCCAGCTGCTCACCGCCTTGTGCACGTGCATGTCGGCAGGGCGCACGTCCGTGCCCGTGGAGTACCACCCCAGCACGTCGTACTTGGGGAACACCTTCTTGTCTGCGCGCACGCGCGCGCGCGCGCACGGAGGAAGCGCGGACACGGGGAGCGGAGCGGGGAGACGGGTGGGGGTAAGGGAAGGGGAGGTGGAGGGCAGGATATTAGTATTCGGAGGGGGAGTGGGAAGTGGGAGGGGACGGGGAGGTGGAGCATGCTTGTATCACTTAAGCGAAATTTCAAAAGAGGAAGGGGGTGGGGGGGAGGGGGAGGGGAGCGGGAGATGGAGTGTGAGGAGTGGCGGAGAGTGGGGCAGGAAAGAGGGTTTGGGGGGAGGCAAAAAGGCGTAAAGGGGGAAGGGGGAAGAGGGGATATGTGACAATGGCAATACCACAACGCTGCAATGATAATAGCTGTTTAAATCGAGCTTATTGGTGCCGCGAAACCCGGCGGAGGTTTGCGAGTGTGAAGCATGAGCCTCGACGTTGTCTAGCTGTTGCGATGCTGAGAGTAATATGAGGTTGCTTTTAAGGAATTCGTGCCCTCGACGCTTGTAACGCGTACATTGTTCCATCTTGACAGTGAGGAAACTACGATCAATAACGATTTCAGGTTCGCCCGAGCCGCCATCCATGGCTTCTGGGGGATTACTGCTGCTCCCGGCGCCGTCACCGCCTCGCGCCTCGTAAATCACCTCAAACGAGTTAAAGATCTCCACAACGCGACCCGACTGCACGCCTAGGAGACAGCCTACGACGCGCGAAGGCACGCCTCCTTGCTGCGCTTTAACGCGCGTGTAATGATCTGACATGTTGACTATAACGAGCGGGTGGAGCTTGAACGTGAGGCCACTAGACGACGACATGGCGTATAGAACACAGTATCAGATACAATCTTAGCGGTCGATCGATACGCTAGCGCTTAACGCGGAAGAAACGGAGGCACAATTGGCGAGTACCGCACGTCGTATGTTCGGCAACAAATGACGATAGGATAGGATGATGGGAACTGTGCTTGGTGGTAGCTATACAGCAGATTCACCGCATCTGGCGGAGCGGAGGAATAACGCAGCCACCACAAACAGGCCAGGATTTTAGCATGTATCGGGGACGGGCGTCCGTACTCGTTAGCGCAATTGTTTCGTTACTCTACACATGTACTCATGCTTTGAAATCCTTTGCTGAACATTCCTTAGCTGCAAAGTTTTATGTTTGCATTATAGTAAACACCACCTTCAAGCAAATCACATGTCTAGAAGCAAAGAGCTCAAGCATCAAAGGTAACCCAATCCATCCACCAGTGCCATTATGATTCCCCTCACTCGCAACTAGAGCCACTGCAGCAGTGCCAGCCACTTAGCTACACTACGCCTAGTGCTCCTCAGCAACACAGTGCACGCATGTGCTACTACTGAACGTAGCCATGCCCACATAGTAATGCCCTCCCCCCTTCTCACTCGTTCTACTGAACCAGCAGCCCAGGATTGAACTACTAGCCAACCGGCCAGCCAGCCAGCACACCGACAACAGAGTCTCCCTCACTCCACGAGCGCAACTCCCTCACTCCCCCTTTCCGCACTCCCCCTTCCTCCACTCCACTCCACTCCACGTCTAGGCCAACGAGGGGAACTGAGACTGGTCGAGAGCAGGGGCATCAGCCGGCCGCCCGCCATAGCCACCACGACCGCCACCGTAGCGGCCGCCGCCGCGACCGCCACCGCGACCACCGCGGGGATTGCGGTAGTGGAAGGTCTGGCCGTCTGCGGGCTTGAGGAACTCGTTGATGTTCACCGTCTTGGGACGGTCCTCATCCTTTTTCCTCACCGCCTTCTCCTTATCCTCTCCCTGCCAAGATCACCCACCGACAAAATGCACCAACACGAACAGGCACGTACCAGCCGGCACCGAAATACGCAAATGAACACAACCACGCACGACGCACGGAACAAGGAATGGATGACGAGTTAAGACAACGTGAGAAAACGGAAAAAGACCTAAGGACCGCACTGAATGCAGGGCACAGGAGACAAAGTACACTTGCCAAGCTGCCCGTGTGCTACCCAAGCAAATCCAGGGCACTGGAGACAGCATGGGCAGCAGATACAGCATAGGGAGCAGAGACAACATGGGGAGCAAAGAAAACATGGGGAGCAGAGGGGCAGAGAGGACAGAGAGGGCACGGACCAGCTTGACAAAGACGTCGTCGCCCTCGGGCTTCTTCTTGAGCGTCATCTTCGCCATCTCCTCGTCCAACTCCACCACGCGCGCCGCCGCCTTGCTGGCGGCCAGCGCCTTGCGCTTCTCCTCCAGCACCTTCTCGTACTCCTCCAGCGTCATTTGCTGCGCATGCACCAGCACGGGGGGCGCGACAGGGACGGGTACGGGGACGCGAACGAGGATGAGGACGGGGAGGGGAGCATGCAGGGGCGGAGACGGTGGCAGGGGGTAACGGAAAAACAGGACAGGGTGACGAGGGGGCGGGGATAGGGGGGCGGAGAGACGGATTCTCGAATACAAAATAAAAGGCGCGAAGGTGAAGATACGAAGGATATCGACGGTAAGGAACAAAGTAGGTAGTTTACCTTCTCCTCCTCTTCCTTCTCCTTCCGCGCAGCTTCCTGGGCTGCGAGCTCCTCCTCGCTCAGCACAGGGGGCTCCGGCGCTGCGACCTCCGCCGCCGCCTCCGCCGCCTCGCCCTCCGCCTTCGGCTCCGCCTCCCCGGATGCGGGCGCGACAGTCTCGCTGGAGAGGGACACGGGGGAGGGCGCAGGAGCACAGTGTGGGGAGATTGAGAGAACCACGGGCAGCCTGGGCCCGGAAACGGACGAAGATAAGACGAAGTGGAGTGAAGCAGAGAGATAGACACGAGGGGGGGAGGGAAACGGGAACGCAGCAGCAAGAGTGCGGGTCAGAATGAAGACATGGGAGGATGAGGGGTCGGAGGAACGTCAGCTCGAAACGACAGCGAAAGGCCCAGTAAGGATTTGAGAAAAAAAATCGCGAGCAGAAAGAAGGTTAAAGGGAGAGGCGCATTACTCGCCAAGGTATTCGCCCTCCCTGCCCCAGTTGCCACGGCCAGCCCCCTCGCGCTTGATCTCCCTGCACGCAACACGGGGCGGAGGGAGACAGCGGAGAGGGACTGAGCGACGGGGCGAAATGGCGGATCGAAATGGCGGACCGAAATGGCGGACCAATATGGCGGACCCCGAAATAGCGGGGCGAAATGGCGGGAAAAATGGCGGCCCGAAATGGCCAGCAAGGGGCGAAACGGCTCAACCGTTTGCACGACGGGGAGTCGGCGGGCGGGTGCCGCAACTAAGGGATGGCCATTAACACGCGGCGCGGTTTCAGCAGCATTCACGTCCGAAGCACAATAACGGGCAACCACCCCTCCCCCCTTCCGTTCTCCCTCGCTTCCCCCCAACCCAATCCAAGACTCATTGCGGCCACCACCACACGTACCCGCCACGGCCGGTGCCGCTCATGCGGTCGAACTCGCGGTGCGGGCGGCGCTGGCCCCCGTCGCGCCCATAGCCGCGACCGCGGCCACCCCTTCCGCCGCCTCTCCGCAGGTCGCCGTGGTGGTGCTGGTCGAACGACGTGCGGTTCTCGCCGTCCTCCCCGCGAACCTGGCGCTCCGCGATGAACGCGCGGCCATTGTCGCGCGGCTCGTTGAACGTCTGGTAGTCGCCACCGCGTCCGCCGTATCCGCCGCGACCGCCGCCGCGACCTCCGCGGTTGTAGCCGGAGCGAGCAGGTGCAGTGGTAGCAGCAGCAGGCTTAGCTAATTTATGGTAGTGGGAGGAATGGGGGAAGGGAAACGCGGGCATTGAGTTAAACTCGGCCAGTACACTAAACAGCAGATCCAAAAACACTGGAGTCGGATTTACCTAACTTAGGAAGTTGATACTACTGTGAGATGCGGGCAACAGAATGATGACGCAGGAAAATAGCTAACCTAGAGAGCATACAGACACACACGAGAACGGCACACACGAGAACGGCGAGAAAGGCCAGCAGATCAAACATACGAGACGAGCAACAGAGAATGGCAGAGAGCAAAAATGATCCACATCGACAACCAACGGCGCATCGGGACAACAAAAACGTGGAGGATAGAAGGAAAGGAAACAAATCCAGGAAATGAAGCATGAAAGGGAAGGAAAAAACACGAGAGGCTGGGTTAAGAATCCGCGTTACCAGCAGCAGGGGCGGGCTTAGCGCCTTTAGCGCCAGCCTTCTTGCTCGCGTCGACCTTCACAGGTTCGGCCGCGACGCGGGACAGCAGGGCCTGGGGGTCGTCATTGTCGTCTCCATCAAGCAGCGCGAAGGGGTTTTGCGTCGCCATTGCACTCCTGCTCTACCTTCCCGAACGCTCACAGAACGGCGGTGGCGCGAGACACGGACCAGTTAGTGCACGCGAGCCATGCACGGCCGCAGTATGTAGGGGCTCTAAGATTAAAAAAACACGACCTAGGTGCACGCGCTAGGGATAGACTAATCGACTAAGTACGGGCACGTGAGAGAACAAGAGAATTCTCTCTGGTGACTGGTGAGGAAGGAGAGAGAAGGCAGGTGCTACCTAAGAGGCAGCGAGAGAAAGAGAACTGAGAGGGAAAGGAGAGCAAAAACCCTTGCTTCCTCTCGATTCCATCTCCCTCCTCTGGTACACCTCCGCGGGAACAGGCATTCTGCGCACTTCCTTTCTCATATTTTCCGCTTCCCCCTAAACCCCGCTAGAAACTCCTTTGTTTTCTGTGTGCTGCATTCCCCGCTTCCCCCTGATCAGTCAGCATCGAGAACGCAAAAGGGGGCTCCTTGCGCGCCTGCCAGCATGCAGTGATCTTCAGAGATGGTGACATGTGACGCTGAACCAATCCAGGACCGCGTAGCCCTCAATCGGTGCGCCCAACTCAGGGAGTGTCACGCACGCAATTCTATCTGATGCGTAGGGGTCACTAGGATAATTATACACCGCGTTGTGTAGGCTCAGTAACCTAAGTGAATGCCATCTAAAAGTGAATATATATGTCACAGTGAAAATAACATGTCATTCACCTATAGGCAGCCAACAATCTCAAGCGGGTTGTTGCTGTGTGATGCAATGGATATTTCCCCCACCAAGAAGAACCTCCCGACCTTCCGGCATCATGATCACCTGGAAGAAAAACAGGTTTTTTCGCCCTAAACTAATTATTAAAAACAAAATGAAATATCTAACAAGGAACTCGCAAGGTGACAATAACGGTATGCAAATAGCAAAGAGCAAAACAGGGCGACTTTACACACGCACCTCACGGAGTGGAAAAACCTTTTGTAACACTTCAAACGCACGCTGGTCACTGGATGGGATGCCAAATGCAGGCGCCACAACCGCACCTGCAGCAATGCAATGCACTCAAAGGCCAGGGATAGAAACGGATGTTGATGATACATGCGCTGAAGAAAAGGGGGGAAGGGGGGAGGGGGAACAAGAAAAACAACAAAACAAAGGTCCTCGAAAAGACATGGGCGACTGCAACAAATCAGGAGTGAATGTGTGAATGGAGCAGCCACGAAAAGGGGACACAAGCGGCCAAGAAAGAAAGCAAGCGAGTGTGGTGCAGAGCGGTGCGCTGACCGTTTGGGAGGTAAAAGTTGATGTAGGACGCTGCCATCAGGTCCCCTGCCTGGCGCTGGGCGTGGGCCCCCTCCTTCAAACAGAGTACGGCACAGCAGTGGCAGAGAGCAGGGCAGAGCAGAGGGTAGGGTATAAAGCAGAACAGGCCAGGACAGATGGGCAGAGCAGGGCAGAGGAGAGGGCAGAGCAGGGCAGAGCACACGTCAGCAATGGCAGCGAAGACAAGGCGGAGCAGAGCAGAAAAGGCAAGGCAGAGCAGAGCAGCAAAGGCAGCGGGTAGTGGTACCTGTGCGAGACCCTGCACGTCTTGGTGCGAGTAGTGGAGCGAGGGGGGCAGCGGCAGGTGGGTGATGCGCAGGGGGCGGTTCTTGGCGTCCCGAGCCAAGCACAGCACCTCATAGGCTGCTTGACACACTGGGTACTGTCATTGCCGTAGCCGATGTTGTTGCGTCATGGGAGGGAGGGGATGCAGGACGGATAGTATGCTAATGACACTGATACAAAAAGAGCAGAAGGAAACACGAAGAGGGAGAGGAAGGGGAAAAAGAATAGGAGGAGAAAAGAGGAACGAGCGGTGAAGAGTGGGAGGGCGAGCGGGACAGAAAGACAGGGCGGGTAAGGAACGGAAGGCAGAGATATGCGATACGGGAGCAGTGTGACCTGTGGCTTGGGGTAGTGGGAAGATTGGGCAGAGGGAAGATTGGGCAGGCAGTAAGAGGGAGTGGGGGGTGAGAGGGAGTGGGGAGTGGGAGGGAGTGGGGAGTGAGAGAGAGTGGGGAGTGAGAGGGAGTGGGGAGTGGGAGGGAGTGGGGAGTGAGAAATGGCACCTGTGGGTGGGAGGGATCATCAGTCCACGCGAGCAGCACGTGTGCGGGCGCCACGAAGCACGCCAGGTTGTCCACGTGCCCGTCCGTGTCCTCGTCACCTGCTAGCCACGGTGCCACGTGCCAGCAAGCAAGGGTGCGCGTACGAGGATGCGAGCACGGGTGCGGGGAAGGAGTGAGGGAGTGAGGGAATGCACGACGAGTGAAGAGCACTCGGATGGCATGGGTGCTCGCAAGAGCAGAGCCACTGCTTGGGATCTCCTGTATCCAATGCAGCATGCGGAGCAGGTGGCTGAGAGAGAGGCTGAGAGAGAGCAGCACCTTGCAGGCCCCCGGGGGAGCCAGATGACGGTGGAAAGGACACCCCTGGGAGACCCTCAGAAGCGCATTTGCATTGCAGGTCCCCTGTGCAAATGCTTCTACAAGAACCCGCAGCATGTGTCACCAAACCACTCTGAGGGGCGCCGAAAGGCGCATGAGAGGAAGGGGCACCTTGCAGGCCCCGGGGGAGCCAGATGACGGCGGAGACCCCCAGGAGAGCGCAGAGGTGGTCCTCGATGGCAGCTCGTGAGAGAGCGGGGTTGCGGCTGTGGTGCAGCAGGCACTGCGCCGTGGTGATGAGCGTGCCTGCCAAGCAGAGCAGTTGTGGATGTGTGTGAAAAAGAGGCTACTCAGGTGCCTCGATCGAAGGCGGTTAATAGGGCGCCGGAAAGTACGAGGCTTTGGGGTTTAGGAGCGTGTGCCACTGGGTTGTGAATGAGGAGCATGGAGGACGTATGTAGCGATTTTCAAGCAACTAGCACGCACCTTCACCGTCCACGTGCAGGGAGCCACCTTCCATGACGAGTGAGGTGCGGTGGCGCATGCACGTAGGTATGAGCTCCGCCATCTGATGCTATGCCCATGGGGTGGTGCGCATGTGGGGTGGTGCGCATGTGGGGTGGTGCGCATGTGGGGAGGTGCGCATGTGGGGTGGTGAGCGACGCCGATACATCAGATATGGCATGTCAATGTCCACACGGAGAGGGGCGATGTATGAGATGAGCTAAAAGCGCCCCAGTGGAGATGTCCACACGGCGGGGTCGTGGCGGAGAGATGTGACTGTACTACCTTCATAATGAGCAACCGTGCATGCATGTGCATGCGCATGTGTATATATATGCATGTGCTCTGTGCTTGCACGTGCCTTGGCAGGAATCAAGTCATCAAGAGACCAGTCACCATAACACCCACTCTCAGCACCTGGGCCAGGACAGGTGGGGAGGTGGGGCGAATAAGCGGAGGAGTTGAAGGAGAGAGGAGAAGGAATGCGGAGAGAGGAAAGGAGGAGAGGGTATCTTTGAGCATTCTCAAGAATAGTGAGCAGGCGAATGTATTGCGTTTGTGGCATCTACGATGGCACGTGCCTGCCACAGGAACGTGGTGGACATGAGTACGAACACCATATGGATGATGGTGTGGGCACATGGGACGGTATGGGCATGCCGTGGTGTGCATGCCGTGGTGTGCATGCCATTATGTGCGTGACACTCACTCACCACCCCACGCGTTGAAGGTCCAATCAATAGCTGCCACGTGTTGTTCGCCACCTGGCAGGTCCTTCACCACAAACTGCAGCAGACACAGGTGAGCGGGGGAGAGAGAGAAAGCGATACGAGGGGAAAAAGCGGTGTGGGGAAGGAGGGTCAGAGGGAGAGAGAAAGGGGAAGGAAGAGAGTGGGGGTGAGAGAAATGGGGAGAGGGTGGAGTGAGAATGGTGGTGGGAGACTTTCTAAATGGAATGAAAGCAGCAAAGGACTGAGGGAACCCTGGTGGGCAAGGTAGTGTGGCGTTCCTTCCTCCTCCATCATCTGCTTTGAAACATCTCAAACCATGAATGGTACAGAGTGTTGGGCCCTCATTGTGTCACTCTCAGATGCCAGCCCTTGCATGCCACTGTCAAACCATCCTCTTCCCCTTCTTCTACTGGCACTGGAACGGCAAGTCTACGTTGAGAGGTCAGAGACATAAGCCTCAGAAACAGGCATTCTGCCTGAACTGGTGAAGGAGGAACAAGAGTAACGGAGCGGCTTACAGTGGGGCATATGTCTCTGGCCCACGCGTCGTTGCTGCTCATCTCTATCACGCGCACTGACGCCGGCAGCTGCTGCCGCGCGTTCCGCCACTGGTCATTGGACGGGGGGGTAGAGACGGGGATGGATCGAGATGGAGGATGAGATGGGACGGATGGGAAGGGAAGAGACAAGGACAGGGGCGAGCGGTATGGGGAACATCAGGTATACCGAAATTCTCTACATAGATACCTCTACACAAAAGCCCCTAAATTCTCATCCTTACCGCTACTCTCTCAGCTACGGCCCTCTCCTTCCTCTGCCTCCCACACTACTTCCCCCTTCCGCACCTCCCTCTCACACCCGACCCTTCCCTCCTCGTTTCTCCCACCCCTCCCCTGCCCAGCCCACCTTTCCCCCATGGCCTCTTCCCCCCCTTTCTCTCCCCTTCCCCGGTCCGCGCGTGCGCGCACCTGTGCGCCCGACACCAGCATGCGCACGGGTTCGAATCGGCTGATGCACGCCGCCACCGCCGCGAACGCCTGCTGAGCTGGCACCGCTGCGTCGCGCCAGTTGTCGGGACGCTCCTGCGCATGGCGCGGGAAAGGGAGCGGTGAGGTGAGGTGCGGAGGGAGGTGTTGGGAGGTGAGGTGCAGTGCAGTGCGGTGCAGACCAAGGAAAAGAACTGGGAGCGGTGGACGAAAGCGGAACGGGAAAAGGAAGGCGGGACGGGGAGGGAGCGCAAGGAGCGCGGGGGCATGCCGGGAGGAACTGACGGGCCAGATCATCCAACACCCATCGTGCGGCTCCCATTCGGCGGGCATCCGGAATCCACGTAGCGCCTCGCGAAGCCGAACGAGCTCCTCGGTTTCGCCCGCATTTTCGCCTGCGCTGTCGCTAGTGACAGTTGAGTCCACCGCAAATGCCGCTTCCAACCGCTCCACGTCTCTTCCCAGAATTCCCCGTCTTTCCTCCGCTTTCTCTTCGCTCTCCTCCTTCGCGCTGCTTCGCGCGGCGATCGGTTCCGCCTCCGCAGCCGACATCTTTGACGAGGCCGAACCAGCGCCGAATGAGGCAGAATCAACGACAGGTTTGACTTGGAGATCTCCTGTTCGCGGAAAGTGCTGGTAGCGATGACGGGAATTCGCACCTCAAACAAGCAAAGCCAACTGTAATGCTCGTCAAACTAAACCGAAGAATTCTGGCCCCCACCACATGTGCAGCATACTCGTCGTAGATTGTCGCGGAGTTCACACACAAAGTGATAGGAACAATACTCCATTACGATAAAAATATCAATGGAGAAATTCGATTTCAAAATAGGTTGACATCCACACTCTTTCTGCAGTGTACGCATCAGAGCGGCAAATCGCTGTTTGTAAATACACGCGCTGACTATTTCATATCTGTAAGGAAAATTCCTTTTCCTTACTTCGCATCCCTGCTCAACGCGTACATCACTATAGCACCACATTCGGCACCGTTACCACTCGCAACCCTCGCATCGACAATCCGCCCGCCACCTTCGCACATCACACCCCGACCTCAGAGCTCGGCGGGTAACCCGCGCTCCGGGCCTCCGCTTCGACACTTTTTCCCAAGCTCAGTCCCAGGCCCGTCGCGCGACAATCACAGTGCATTACCATTACCACTGTGGTTTCGCTATATATTCTTCGCTCATGCCTTCGCTCATTGTACTCTTGCTTCGATAGTGCAATTCTCGTTCGTTCACTCAATTGCAATCGTAACACTTGGTATTCAGAGCCTACGATCTCCTCTCGGACCACACCCACACCTTCGCTTCCCCACTATCTCAATTTTTTGGGGGAGCGGCTGGAGGGTGTTGCGCTACGTGGATCCCCAGTGAGAACCACTGGACTCCGCCCTCCAAGCACTAGCCCCATGCCCGACGTACTGCACAAGTAGCGCAACACCCTCTTCGCTGCAGCCATGTGCTCTGGTCGGTGTCTCCCAGGAGCAACATAGCGTGCAAGAATGCTAAGAGGGTATGCAAGGTCAGGTCGTATGCAAGTTATCAGGTACATGAAGCAGCCAACAAGCTCTGGGTACGGGCCACTTGACTCTACGGACTCATCCGAAGGCAGAGCTGAGAGCGAGTGGCGAGTAGACAGAGGAGTGGCCTCAGGCGAAGAGTACGCGAAGCCGAAGCGCTGAAGGACCTGCTGCACCATGTGTGACTGAGTCAAGGTAATGGTGCGGCGTGCTCTGTCCCGGGTGATCTGCAAGCCAAGGTAGCTGCGCAGTTCACCCAGGTCTGTGCACGTGTGTCTCTTCTGCAGCTCGGACTTCACGTAGGAGAGTCCAGCAGTGTCAGCTGTGGCAAAGACCAAGTCGTCGACGTACACGAGGATGTAGAACGGCGGCAGAGAAGTGTCGGTGCGCAGAAACAACGACGGGTCAGCAGTAGAGAAAGCAAACCCAAGAGCCCCAAGCGTAGTCCTCAGTGTGTTGTGCCACTCACGCGGTGCCAGGCGGAGACCGTAGACTGGCCGTCGAAGGCTCCACTGGGTGCCAGGAGGGAAAGTCCCAGTGAAGCCAGGTGGACGGCGCAGCCAGATCTCCTCGTGCAGGCTACCCTGCAAGAAAGCAGTGCTAAGTCAAGAGAGTGAAGCTCGTAGTCGCGCTGAGCGGCTATGTGCAGCAGCACCCGAAGAGTGGTCATCTTCGGGGTGGGAGAGAAGGTCTGAAAGTAGTCAACTCCCTGCCGCTAACTGAAGCCACGAGCAACGTACCGCTCCTTGAAGACAGGTGGAGAGCCCGGCGGCCGCTTCACCCTGAAGATCCACATGCCACTGACGATGTTCGCCCTAGGAGGGGGAACCGCGTCAACGTAGGTGCCTGTGGACTTCCAGGAAGCCATCTCTGCATCCATAGCTGCCTGCCACTGAGAGGAGTAGGGACCCTCTACGGCCTCCGTGTAAGAGCGCGGAGTCGGGATGTCTAGTGCATCCGGGTCTCCCTCAGGGGCAAGTAGTACGGACGCGAGATGAGGTGAAGCATCAGCCAGACACTGGAACTCCTCCTGCCTGTCCTCAAGGACGTCCGTGCCAAGAGCACTCTCACCCCCGACGGACGGAGGACAGAAAGACGCAGACTCAGCAAAAAGACTAGCAGAGTAGTCCAGACGACAGCGAGCAGCAAAGTCGACGAGCTCAGCGACAAGAGGAGACGCAACAGTGGACTCAAAAGAGGGGTTAGTGACAACAGTAGCAATGAGACGCGTGACAGTAGGACTGACAGCACGAAGGGAGTCCGACTCCGGGTCGGCAAGCGCAGGAAGAGAGGACTCAGGAGGAGAAGGCAAAGGGGCACGCAGAGGAGCAGTGGACGGACGCAGAGTCATCCGGTGCGTGCCAGGGTCAGGAAGAGGACGCTGACGCGAACCACGACCACTAGCGCGAGCTGCACGAACAGGAGACGCAGGACGAGACGCAGGCTCACGACGCTCAGCAAGACCTCCAGTAGGACCAGTGTAAGGAGAGGGAGCACGAAGTGGGGAGGCGGGCTCAAACTGTGACTGTGACTGGACAGGCAGTGGACACTCTACAGGAGGGGAAAGACCAAGAACCAGTTGTAGGAGCGGAACGAAGTACGGCCGAGGCCGAGCGGCAACTCCAGACACAGCAGGGATAGCACCAGCACCCACAGCAGCAGCACCAGCGCCAACAGCACCTCCAGCTGCACGACCTCCAGCAGCACCAGAAGCACCCGCAGCAGGACCACCGCCAGGAAGGACAGCAGCAGTCTCAGGACGAACACCCTCAGCAGCTCCAGCTCCATGTGGACCCGCAGGCCCAGCAACTTCGGGACCGGCGGCACCAGTACCCTCAGCAGCCGAAGAAGCTCCAGCTCCAGCAGTACGCCTCCAGCGGCGAGCAAACCACTCGCGCAGCTCCTGTGGAGAGAGTGGCTCCCGCCGAGACGAAGCACCCGGAGAACCTCCAGGCCCAGCACCGCCAGACTCCACAAGGGGAGGTCCAGTGGCCGCATGCTCCACACCTCCAGGCTCAGCAGCTCCAGACGCAGCACCCCCTGGCTTAGCAGCTCCTGACGTAGCACCCCTAGGCTCAGCACCCCCAGGCACAACACCCTCAGGCTCAGCACCCCCAGACTCAGCACTCCCACGCGCAGCACCCCCAGGCTCAGTACCCCAAGTCGCAGCACCCCCAGGCTCAGCACCCCTAGGCGCAGCACCCACGTGCGCAGCACCCCCAGAGTCAGCACCCCCAGGCTCAGCACCCGCAGCAGTACCAGAGTCACCAGCAACCTCGACCGGCTCGACAGCGTCTACATGGGACACACCTGAAGGGGCAGGACCCTGAGGGAGAAGGGGGTCTACCGTGGGAGGACCTGGCACAAGGAGGTGCGGTGGCGGGGGGAGGGAAGGACTGCGGTAGGGGAAGAGACGGTAGAAGGGGACGGACTCGTCGAACGTGACGTCCTGGGAGGACAGAACACGACGAGAGGAGGGGTGGTAGAACTGCCACCATGGGGCGTTAGGGGGGAAGCCTAGGAAGACACAGGGAGCAGCACGAGGGGACAGCTTGTCCGCAGACAAGTCGCGGACAAACGCCCGAGATCCCCAGACACGGAACGCAGACGCATCGCCGACCTTCCCCGTCCACAGTAGAGCTGGGGAGGTCTCTGGCAGGGAGACCCTGGGGTGAAGGTTGAGCTGATGCGCCGCGTACCGAACCGCAAATGGCCACAGAAAATGGGGGGCAGCCGCATGCATCATGGACGTACGAGCGACGTCCATGACCATGCCAATGCGGCGCTCAGCAATCCCATTTTGCTGTGGAGAGTCCGGAAGCGTAAAGGTCTGGCGGATGCCTCGTGCACGACAGTAGGCTCGCAGAAGGCCAGAGGAGAACTCTCCACCTCGGTCAGAGTGCAGACGCAGAACAGGAAAGTCCGAGCCGAAGCTCTTCCTGAGCTGGAGACGAGCTGCGCGGATCCAGTCGATCAACACCTCAGTGACATCACCCTTGCTGCGCAAGGGGAAGACTGTGGTGTAACGCGAGTAGTCGTCAACCACCAGCAGGAAGTAGCGCTCGTGACCCTGTCCACGGACGCAGGCCGGGCCCCACACGTCCATGTGAAGCGTCTGCAGAGGAGCCTCTGTCGGGGGAAACTGGGAGGAGTGAGGGGCAGCCCGGAGCCGCCCCTCGACACAGGGGACACAGGAAGGTCCAGGCCCCGAAGGAAGGGGAGGGAGAGACCGAGGGAGACCAGAGACAAGGACACGGGAAGCCATGCCCCGAAGACGAGGCAGGGAGGGGTGGCCAAGACGGTGGTGCCACAAGAGAGTCTCGTGAGACAGGAGGCGACACGAGCAGGGGGCAGACTCAGGACCAGACCTTGACGCAGCACCAAACACCTGACCCGACGCAGCTACCTGGCCAGACGCAGAGATAGGAGGAGACTCAGTGGTCAGGGTGTAGAGGCTCGACCCCGGCCGACGCAAAAACGTGGCCAGGTGTCGGCCTGTGCGGGCGTCCGAGCAGTGGGTCACCCGCTGACTCGCAGGAGTAAACTGGTGAACCCCCGCATCCTGTAGGTCAGCACCACTCACCAAGTTCGTCAAGAACGAGGGGAGGTACAGATTAGACAGGGTGCCCGAGGGGGCAGCCGGACACGAGAGGACAGTGGAGAAGTGAGAGAGGACAGGACCCCTAGAGGGGTCAGCCAGGGAGACCGCAACCGGCCGACCAAGTGGCGTGAGTGTGGTGCGGTCTCGAAAGAAGGAGCGAGAAGCCCCTGAGTCAAGTGTGAAGGTGAGGGAGGCCGAAGCCGACGCGGTACCTGAGAGCGCAGCCTCACCAGTACCTGAGAGCGCAGACTCGCCGGCACCTAGAGCAGCAGCCTCACAAGCACCTAGCGCAGCAGAACCAATGCCCGGGTCGGGCGGGAAACACCGGTAACAGTCACCCTCATTACTAATAGTCACAGCATACATGGCAGCAAGGATAGCATCAAAGTCAAGATCAAAGATAGCTACACCAGCCCTAGACAGCTCTCT